GAGCCCGAATCAGATGAGCCCGCCTCGCCCCGTCAGTGGCGGAACTTTCAATCCTGATACTGCAACATCAATGCCACTGTCAAGGGAGCCCGTGTGTTACAACACCAAGTGCAGAATACCCCAAGCCATTATGTATTTCGATGTGCCATTCGCCCGACAGTGCGGCAATTAGGTCAAAATTACCTAGAGCGATCGCTTCTGCTTCCATGGCTATGATGCAAGGTGTGACAAGCCTGCCGTTCGAGAACGTTGCACAAACGAGGCTTAGGACTTGTTTTCAATTGCGGGGTACAAACACTTCGTCCAAGTCAAGCCCAACCTCACTTGTCAAGGTTCTTGGTTTTGACCATGCGACCCAGCAGTTCCTTGCAGTGCTTTTCACTGTACTGCTCCCATATTTCGTAAAGCGAGACCAGCTCTTGCGTGCACTCGATGACTGCTTTGATGTCGATCTCACTCTCAGCTAGCCATGCGACTAGCCTCTGAATCCGCGCCGGAGGACCACTGCCGTTTTTATCACTCAGAGCCGCCAGGATGTTCAAGCCCCCATCCCGCATCGCTCCAGCCAATGGTGCGGCGGAACCATGAAAACTGGTCTGGCTTGGCTTGAAGACCACGGCAACAATGATCGCCATGACGGCGATGACATGCGGCGGGTACAAAAGTGGCAAGTCGGTTAGATAGTGGTCGTTGATCACTGACCATGCAAGTGCTACCTCGTCCGACGTAAGCGATAGCTCCGGCTGGAGTTCGGATAGAGTTCGATAGGGGTGATGGACGATGAGCTGCGAGCTCATCTCGGAGATGAGAGAAAATTCGCACTCGCCCAGCTTTGATACATCTGGGGCAATGAATTCTGCGCAAGCATCAGCGAGTGACAATGATGAATAAATGGGTGATGATTCGTACCTGGCCAGAGGCCCCGCGCTTCTCCGACAACAAAGCGAATATGTTGAGGGCACTCCTCCATTTTACAAGCGAGGTAGAACGCAGTAGTCACGACCAGGTAGGGATTCGTGTGCCTGATCTCATTTTTAGTATAGAAGCGTTTGACGTATACTTGCGCTGTTGCTAGCGCTTGCTGTCGCGTGGACATTCTCTTGCCAAGCTTGATCAATTCTGTGCAAATGTTTAGTTGGAAGTCCTGCTGACAAACCCGATAGTCAAGGGCCTTACGCTGGCTGAAATAAATATTAAGCAACCTTTGATCCGGCAGAGGAAACTGCGAATGAGCGACTTTGTCTTTCTCCTTGAAGCTTTCGCGGATCTCCGCCAGCTTCTCACGCGTAAACAGCCAGTGTCGTCGTTGGGTCGACGCCCAGTAATTGGCAGCCATGATGACTAGGGAATGGTATTATTGGCCTCAGTGTTCGATATGCCAAAGTTGAGGTCAAATATCCAGTGCTGTCATCGATGGGGCATTCTCGGCAGGAACTATGTACGGGTGTATGGATGGATCGTGCGTGGTTGGGGGATCTTATTTTAGGGACCCCGTCTAGGTTGGTCTACCGCCGAGTTGGGCAGCTTATGAGAACAGATTCGCAAGTCCTTTGCTTTGTGCAGACCTCAAGTGTTTCGATTCATTGAATGTGAGTATAAAAAGAGTGACTTTGCAAATAGTATGTGAATAAGGCGGAACGGTCACGATGAGAGGTGATTGATTAGTAGTTCATCTGGCAGGTGACCATCGGAGAGAAACGCTTCCCAAACCGGTTAGAAGCAAACTTCTTCCCCCCCCCTTCCCCCTTTGGTCCCGTGAGAGACCGGGCCGGGGTCTAGTTTTCTTCCGGCCTTGTCGCGGTAAACCCAAGCAAGCAGAGTGTGAGAGAAAGTGAAAAGCAAATCATCGCGGCTCGATTTCTCACGGCTATCGATCGGCTCCTGCGCAGAAAACAAGAACCATCGACCACAACAATGTTTGTCACTTTATCTCCCTCTTTATAATAAGCCCACCACTCTCTCAACTCTCCGCTCTACCCCACTTCTAGCCTTTGCGACTTCGATGCTAGAATCATCGTCTAAATCTCTTTCTTCCCTGTTGCGACAGGGCTCCGAATTTACATCACTAGCCCCCGTGACCCCTCCTTGAAAAATAATGACGGAGTTCCGATAATCTCTCGAATAACCGAACATGGATAACGGCGAGTCAAAATCGGATCGTGACCAGCGAGTCGCCCGACTATGGAAGCGCCTGGACACCAAAGGAGAAGGTCATCTTGATTTTCATGGTCTGAAAAAGGGGTTTAAAAAGATTGATCACCGTAAGCTTCAACCTACCTATGACCCGATCCCGTGCTTCTGCTGCAGGTGACCAACCTCCGTACGTCAAAACCACAGCTCTCAAGAATGCGGACAGCATGCTGCGCAGTATCATCAAGGCGGTCGATACCAACGAAGATGGCTTTATAGATTATCCTGGTAAGATCACGCGCATGCTTTCCCAACGGTCTATTTGTCTCTCCCCGGGCAACTGGCTTGAACCGCCCGGCATTTTTCCAACCTAATTATCATCAGAGTTCCGCGCATTTGTCGACCACACTGAGCTCGGATTGTGGCAGCTATTCGAGAGCATCGACCACAACCACAACGGAGAAATCGATAAGAATGAGCTCAAAACAGCCTTCGCGAGATCCGGGGTAACGGTCTCGAACGCCAAGTTGGAAGAATTCTTTGCGGAGGTCGACAGGAACAAGGATGGCGTCATCTCTTATGCCGAGTGGAGGTATGCCTACTTAATGGCGGTCAGCTGAAGAAAGCTCCGGGGGTTTGCAGCTAATGATGGTCCTGTTATTTAGGGATTTCCTGCTCTTCCTGCCCGCCTACTCGTCCTCCAACCTCCGCTCCGTTTTGTCATACTACACGGCCACGGGCAATCTAAACCCGGAAGGAGATGTCCACATCAATGACCTGCAGGGTTTAGGTACAGACCTCTCGTTTCTTAGATGTTATATCTTGGCCATCAAAAACCTCTTGCACCATATCTCCCCAGTGCATCTCTTGACCAGCCTTCTCCCCTCAGCCTATGCGGAAATCGGCGGAGTACCAGAGCCCAGATTCGCATTCGAGACTGCTTCCGTACCGTCAGATGCCGATTTGGAGCTGGAGTGGCTGCCCATACCCAGGACCGTCGCCATGTGGATGTCCTTTCGATATTATGAAAAGAAGTTAACCGAGAACACTCCTCAATTAGGCTATTTCATCGCGGGCGGAATTGCAGGAGCCGTGTCACGGACAGCCACTGCTCCTCTTGATCGACTCAAAGTCTACCTTATCGCTCAGACTGGTGTGAAGCAGTCCGCAGTGCAGGCGGCCAAGGATGGGGCTCCGATACGTGCAGCGGGGAAAGCATCCAAAACCCTTGCCGAGGCTGTCAAAGAACTATGGCGTGCGGGAGGTCTTCGGAGTTTGTTCGCAGGTATGTTTCGGACACGGCCCCGTGTTGCGAAGCAATGCTAACCGTCCAAGGCAACGGCTTGAATGTAGTCAAGGTCATGCCCGAGTCAGCCATTAAATTTGGCGCCTACGAGGTGAATGCGTCCTTCCCGGGCGAGTCGTTCGCTGACGATGCTAACACAAATGCAGTCGGCCAAACGCGCTTTTGCCCGCCTTGAGGGCCACAATGATACGAAGCAACTTAAACCAACTTCCCAGTTCTTGTCCGGAGGGTGTGGTGGAATGGTTGCACAGTATGCTGCACCACAAATTTAACCATACGCTCGATATCTAACCACGTTACAGGTGCTTCGTCTACCCTCTCGATACTCTCAAATTGTAGGTGTTCACTTTGATTCCGTGTGATTGGATGTCTTTGTGGCTAATACCGTTCCTAGTCGGATGCAATGTTCAACTGTTGAAGGTGGTCCGCGCGGCAACCAGCTCATCGCAGCCACGGCTAAGAAGGTCTGGAACAAGCATGGAATCTTCGGCTTTTTCCGTGGCCTGCCGCTGGGCCTCGTGGGGATGTTTCCCTACGCTGCCATAGATCTGACGACATTCGAGTACATGAAGCGGGCCCTTATAGCACGCAAGGCACGGCTTCACAATTGCCACGAGGACGATGTCCCACTAAACAATTTCTCCACCGGAGCGATCGGCGCTACGAGCGGAGGCTTCAGTGCCTCCATGGTCTACCCTCTAAACGTGCTTCGAACAAGATTACAGGCTCAAGGCACTATTCTCCACCCCACCACATATACTGGCATCTTCGATGTCGCTCGCAAGACCATCCAAGCAGAAGGTTTCCGTGGCCTGTACAAGGGACTCACGCCTAACCTCCTCAAAGTTGCACCTGCAGTTTCGATCAGTTACGTCGTCTACGAGAATGCCAAGCGAGCTCTGGGGTTGAGGTAAGGGCCTCGAAGCGAAGCACGAGTTATATCGCCCTTCGCCCTTCGCCCTTCGCCCTCCCATTTTAGGCCGCCCACCGCGTTTCGTTTTACCTTCCTCGATTTTTAGAATTCATTTTCCAAGATACCCTAGAAAAGCCAGTGGCCCGACCGGCCACCGTTGTTCGCTCTGTTCGGGTGGTGGGAATGCGCGATCGTCGAGACCTCTAGCTATGCATAGACGAGGGTGTCTCTTCCTCTTCCCGCAGTCTCCCGTCCCGAAACCCCCGAAGGCTTTACTGTTTTGATTTTATGTCATTCGCATATGGCAATCACAAAAGCCATATTGCAGATTGGATGACCCAACTGTTTGGAAGAGTCGCATGCCCGACCTTTCCCTAAGCATGGGAGGTGTTGAGCGGTAGAGCATGTTACGGAGTTTTATTTCCCGTTTCGAATCTTTTCTTTTTCACTGGCCCCCTAGCCCTCCAGCTTTGTATAATGGGGACATTTCCCCGATAATGTTTGCAGGGAGAGATACTGGATGCCCATGCTAGCCTTCAAGCTTTTTTTTTTTTTTTTCATCTTGGTCATATGTCCACTTTGTATGTAAAAAACTTTCCACCCTTTTGCAAGATAATGGGAATGATGATAGAAAGGTACAGTACATTTAACTCATTGAGTATAGTTCATAAAAGTGTTCTAAAATTATTTGGTACTCATCCTTCGTGACAACTGTATCGATGCGATACAAACAACAATACCGCCCAATCCACCACCGACAATTTTTAACCTTCCGACCCTTTCCTGAAAACCTAAACAACAGCTCGCACCTCCTCCTCCAACGGCAGCACATCCGGCACCGGCCCCACGGGCGTGATCCCGAAGGGGTTGATCTGCTTATGACTCTTGGTATAGTGCTTCTTGATATGCTCGAAGTTGGTGGTGTCACGGAACGCGGGCACCTCCCAGTACAGCGTGCGCAACCACCGGTGGATGGCCGGGTACCCGGACCGGATGTCGCGGATATTGCACTTGAAGTGCTGCACGTAGACGGGGTCGAACCGCACGATGGTCGTGAACAGCCGGATGTCGGCCTCGGTGAGGCGGTCGCCGAAGAAGTACGGGCCCCGCTTGGTGTTTTCGGCGAGATGCTTCTCGATCCGGTCCAGCGAGGCGAAGAGCTGCGTCACGGCCTTCTCGTAGGCCTCCTGCGTCGTGGCGAAGCCGGACTTGTAGACGCCGTTGTTGACATCGTTGTAGATCCAGTCGTTGGAGGTGTCGATCTCGGTTTGGAGGTCCGTCGGGTAGGGGTCGATGCTGCGGTGGTGCTCGGGGAGGAGGGGGTCGAATTCGTGGTAGAGCATGCGGATGATCTCGGCGCTCTGGCTCGGGTGGTTAGATCTGGGGTTGGGGGGTGAAGCGGGGAAGGGGGAAGGGGGAAGGGGAGGGGACACACGTACCTCGTTGCTTACGATGCGCTTGGTCTTCTTGTCATACAGGACCGGAACGGTGAAGCGTGCGCTGTAGTCGGGGTCTTCGGCGAAGTAGATCTCGCGCAGGTGCGTGAATTCTGGGTGGTTGGGGTCGGAGGTGACGTTCTGCGAGGGCTCTTGCTCCTCCGCGGTGGCGAAGCGCCATCCTATTGTGATTCCGGGCGTGAGTATTTATCGAACTGTATTGTGGATGTGCTGGGGAAGTCAGGAAGTCAAACCTTTCTCGCCCAGGTGCCAGTGCACGGAAGTGAAGGAGATGATGTCCTCGAGGCCCTTGAGCTTGCGGGTGATCAAGGTGCGGTGGGCTGTGGACAACAGAAAAGAATCACGGTTAGTTGAGTTGGTGTATGGCTGGCAAGAAGCTTGGACTAATCAAGAGCTCACCCCAGGGACAGGCGTATGAGACGTAAAGGTGATAGCGGCCCTTCTCGGGGGGAAATTCAGCGCCGGGCTTATTGGAAATGAAGTTGCGGAACGCCGATGTTTGACGCTTGAATTCGCCGGACTTGTCGGCGGGATTGACCCAATCGGTGATTTTGTTGGTCTATCAATTGGCATCAAAGAGTCAGGAAGACAGTTCGCATTTTCGTGAATCAAACAAGAGAAGGCTGTTTCCTACCGCCATGGTGCGCGTTGAAGATACGAGATATGATGGTGCGGAGAGGCCGGAGGTTGACAATTTGGAGAACCCCGCGGAATAACTGGGTTGCACGAAATGCTGCGATAGCTGGCGGATACGAGGCAATACTTTGAACATGAGCAAACAGAGCCCCAACAAGCCGGGAGCAATTGGTAGCTTTATAGTTGTGAAACAAAAGAACAAGCTGGCAGGATCCGTTGAGAAATTGAATACGAGCTCGAGGCCACTTGCTGAGGGGCAATGCGGGGTGGGTGGAGATGACGTTATCAAATGCTTACTGATGCGCCAGTCATCCGTCTGGGACCCTCTGGGTCTTTTTCTTCCATGACAAACATTTAGCTCAGCACAACCACCACCTTACTTATCTACATACTTCCTGACTAGTGATTATTACGGGAACTGAGTTTTAATTAACGAACACGAACACAACAACAAACAAATCACTCACCGCATTCTCTAGGAAGCATTCCGAAATCTGACAAACATGTCAACGAACGACAGTTATAGCATTGCTTCTACTTAACGTTTATCTACGTTCATCCCAGCATAATCATTCTATACCAAGAACTTCGGCAAGGTAGAATATCGCTTTGCCTGCCTACTTCCTCAACTTCACCATCACGTAAGGAATCTCAACATCCTCCTCAGTCGTATCTTCTGCCGTCACCTCGAAAATGATGTTCTTCTGGTGCTCCGGAACAGGCTTCTTGCTAATGTGCTCAACCAGCTTACTCATCCTATTGCATTTTGGATTAGTATTATTTTCCTAGTCCCTGGAGGAACGCGTGCAGAGTGCGCTTGTGGGATAACTTACTTCAGAGGAAGACGGTCCTTAAGCTTGGACGGCGGGTAGAAGCTGGCGTACAGAAGACTAACACCAGAGCTGACCATGCTGATCTCCAGACCCAGGTCGGAGAAATGCTTGATGAAGTCCTGGAGCGGAATATCATCCAACTCAAAGCGGTCCCAAATCTGGTCAATAACGACCTCACCCTGCTTGCCCTGGTACTTGCCCTTCGGACTGGCAATAGGTTCACTGAACCCAAGGAAGGGCAGCGCCAGATTGACGAAGCCGTTCTTGTACTGTTCAATGTCGTCCTTACCGTCGATGATCTTGTACAATTCAAGGGCAACCAATCCAGTCACTAGGGCGGTAGTTGTGGCAATGGCAGGAATGATCTTGCCAGCAATAAATTTTGTCTTGTGGCGGTCGGCTTGGGGGATCTCGTAGTTGTCGGCACGCAAGTTACTAGCCGCAGTGATGAAGTCAATGTGATGGTTGGTGTCGTCATCCTTCTCAAACTCGACTGGGTTCAGGCGGAAGCCAGCGAGAGACTTGGGAGATGGAAGTGAGTCAACGAGCTTTTGAATTTCCTGCCCATCATCGAAAGATGAGCCGGAGGCAGGAGCATCCGGGTCCGGGTCATTCTCATTAGCCTGGATCTTGACGCCGGACTTGGGCGTGAACTCAGGAATGATCATGTTATCGACAATCTTCTTGTAGTAGCCCTTGTCTGCACCGGGGTTCTTAATGCCGTAGTTGAAGGCATGAAGGTTGGCTCCAGCAATGACGAAAGAGAGATGAGTGGGGTTGGTGCTGTCGAACTTGAGGGGGGTAGGAGCCCGCTTGGGCCCAGACCAGAACGGTTGCCCAGTGGAGGTCTTGGAATCCTTGGGGAAGTTAAACAGGAGCTGCTGGATGGCGTTGTTGTACTGAGCCTCGAACTGCTGGCGGGCCCAGACGATGCAGTCATCGAAGGTCAACGGCTTATCCGTCACCAGGAAGTCACGCAAATGCTCCAGAGTCTGCTTCTCGTTGCCAGCCTGATTGAGAGTTTGCTCAATGTAGTTGGGCTGCGACAGATACATGTTGACAGCTTCCGGAGGACCAACAAAGTACGTCTGGAAGAGGTCCCGAGCCCAAGCAATAGTGTGCTCAATGCGGTTGGGGAAACTCTTCAGGGTACACATGGGGAAGGTCTTCTCGGGCGGATCCTGGGAGCTTGAATAGGACTCGGTGATACGAGGAAGCACGACTTGGGTGTTGCCCTTGGTGCCGAGAGTGCCACTTTCGAGCAGTGGCTTTCTGAAGAAGACACACCGGCGATCAACATAAGTCCTCGCGTCAACATTGTCCAAAGCATTCGTGACACCATCCAGGCGCTCCCAGAACTCCTCGTTGAAGATGTGCTCGGTATCAGAGCCTACGCGATCGCGAAGAGTGACAATCTTACCCTTGAGCTCGGGGTTCATCGCCTCCACAGCGGCAGAGGCACATTCACTCTTGAGTTTGCCGACGTCTCTGGAGCGGAACAAGAATTGCCGGTTAAGGTTGCTCTTCTCGATCTGGTCCATGTCCGTAACGTAGATTTTTCCCTTGGGACCGGTTCCTAGGCCCATCATGGCCCAGTTTTTCAGCGTCTCGCAGCCAATGGCACCAGAACCAACCAGGAACTGAGTGACGTTGGAAATCTTCTCCTGGAACTCCTTTCCAAAAACGGCAATCTGGCCGTCGTAGCGAGTGCCCAGAGGCTTGCAGGCCTCCTCGGAGCGGGTGACAGAAGTCGGAAGAGACTCCAGTGAGTCAAAGTACAGCCACTGATAGACAGGGTTGAACTTGCCGGAGACAGCCTTCAACACCTCCTGAGCGGCGAGACCTCCGAAGAGCGCGGCCAGCGGGTTCAAGTCACCACGGGCTTGGTAGCTGAGCTCCTTGAGAAGCTTCTCGTCTAACTCCACCTTCTCCTCCAGGCTAAACGATAGGTCGTTGGCAATCTTCAGCACCTCTTGAGCATCACTGTCGTTGTGAGGACGAGGAAGTTCACCGCCATGACCTTCTGCAAACTTGTGTAATGCTTGCACTCCAACGTGAAGCTGCAGCGGGCGATCGAACTTCGCGAAATCCGACACCATGACTTCGGGCTTCTTGAGCTGTTCCTCGAGTGGTGCGAAATCCATGAACTTTGGCATCTTGACCTGAGTATAAATACCACCAGCTTCGTAGGTTCCGAATTCAGACACGTCTCCAATGGAGAAAGTATAGGGGCCCTTGACGGTGACCTTGCGAGGAGCACATCCGTTCAGGCCCTCCATTCCTTTGACTTCCGAGAAAGTCACAAAATCACCATCTTCCAAGCCGTGTCGGGTCTCATCCAATGCCGAGACCAAGCCTTCCTCATCGATACTGGCCACGATTCCGCTGAATGGCTCCTCGCCCGTAGCATCGCCTACCGTGAAGTTCTTTCCGAAGTCGTTGAAAAGATAACCAAAAAGACCGAAAGTGTCCGTGATAGTGAGGTAAATACCGTTCTTGTGGCAGAAGTCGGCGATAGCGAGCTGTTCTTTCAGTGGGGTCAGGGTAAGGACAATCGCTTGGTAGCGTTTCAGCTGTTCCAGGTCGTCAACTAGGCTGGCGCCTTCATGAACTGTAACCGGGACATAGGAGTTCAATTCCGCAACTCTCGGCGCTGTCACCTCGGCACGAGGCTTGCCGACATCTTGGGGCTGGAGGAAGAACTGGGAAGAGAGGTCTGAGATGGCAACCGGTGCAGGGTCGTACAGAGTGAGGGACTTGACACCAGCAAGAGCGATGTTCTTAGCTGAAACGCTGTCAGTCAAGTGTGCTCCCATTCTTGCCAAAACGTGGGTGGTGCCTACCAATCTCAACACCCAGACCCTTCAAACCAACAACCAGGACATTCGATTTGCCCATACGTTTCATAGCTTCATGGCCGAGGACATACCTAGAATAGACGGCCACCTATCAGTGTCTCATCAACCAGCGAAAGCAAAAACCAGCTTGTACTTACAGTTGCCGGCTGTAAAGAGATTCATCAATCTCTCCCTGCTTGATCAACTCCACAGTTTCCTGTGGGTTGTCAATTTGCATCTTGGAGTCCTATGGTCGATTAGTAGTCGGATATTGAGTGGGGCTGTGAGTATTAAGAAGACATACAGTCATGATCTTCTTCTCCGGCGGAGCTTTGTTATCAACAGACGCTCTGCGCTTTCCAGGCTTCGCAGCGTCACGAACGGGAAGTTCGGAAGAAATTGTGAAAGTTCTCAAAGGAAAGTCTTGCCACGGGAGCAAGACTTTCTAATCAGGTTGAATGGGGCCTACAGCTCGCACTGCAAGTCACGGAGGAGGGGTAAAGGCGCTAGAGTCGAGGAAGGTTTGGGTAGGGGAGGACGTAACGACAAAAGGGAGGAGGAAGAAATGAGGATTTTGAGCGGATGGAAAGAGTAGGAGAGATGTTGAGTAGAAAAAAAAGTCCAAAGCAAGAAAGAGTTGGATAGACAGCGAAGAGGAGAAAGATGGATCACTAATGCTACGACTTCCCTCGGCGGCGACGTAAGAGAGGGACAAGCTGTCGATATTGCTGACTCAGCCAATATCGCAGCCGTGATTGGCTAGAGCCCCGCGGACACTGGCCAGCACCGATGGAACTTAAAGAAAGCGGAAAGAAGGGTCCGTCCCGACCGGAGGTTGCCAGGCACTTCGTTTGCTTTTTGTTGATGCGTCGCCGTTTAGTCTTTGACATTTGGACTCTTTGATCAACTCTCCCATCATGCATCTGTTGAGAAAGGCTAGAACTTAAATAAACTAAGATACTCTCTGCTCTCTAGACCGTTATTGGGCTAATAGGCTGGTATCTCATTTGTTCTATGCCTTGCCGCAGGTATCATCTACCTCCGCAGATCTCGCGACGCGCCGCGATATAGGGCGAGGGGCTAGCAAAGAGGCTTGCTTGCTCATAGCCACGACTCAATGCCAGCACCTATACATGTGTCGCTTTGAGATCCTGGGACGTTCAATTCTATATTGGCAACGTCAGAAGTCTAAACGAGATAGAGATCTCGCCTTGAGGTTGTCTTGCGCTCTTTCGGTATCTCCATTAATGACAGTCTGACCTCGAGTTTGCGTCAACCTAGGGAATTACCACCACAATGCTCCACGAAATCCTCCTCTGCCTCTCAGGCCAGCCGTCGCCTCTTTTCAATCCGCAAAGTGAAGAATCTCTTGTCGCTGAAGATGCCTTCCCTCTCGTCTCTCCCCCGGAAAAGGCCCTCCTCGCCTCACTTGCCCATTTAAGCCGTCTCCATGCCAGATTGCGACATAGTACAGGATTGATATCGGCCTCCCATCCATCCGTCATTTGTCGGGCAGTCTCAACGGCTATCAGTTCGCAACATCTTGGGGGGTTTCAGCGAAAAATACTAGAGGTGGAAAAGGCGATTTTGGTCGAAGACAGTGCTTATGTCGGCGGTTACGGTATTGTGCCACTGTCCACAATAGTCGGGGAATTCGCGCCTTGGACTCGGCGACTTGAATGGATGTGGCAGGTAGTCAGGTATATACAGCTTGCAAACACGAAAGGGGTCGGCCCAACGTGCAGTGGCGCAGCCTTGATGGACCACCTTCGAGCGGAGCTGCAAACGGGTTATGCTGATGTGAGGGAGATTGCACTTCACCTGGTAAGCACTGCGGAGACTGCTTGGATCCGGCAATTATCAACATGGTTATTATATGGTAACCTTCCGATTCTTGGGAAAACCGACTTCTTTATCCAGGAAGCGAATGAGACAAATTTTGAACTGCATTCAGAGCTCCTACCGCAATTTGTGCTACCCCAGACGGCATCATCTATCCTCTTTATTGGCAAGACTTTGAATCTAATCCGAGCGAAACGGGGTACTTTGAACGATACCGGTATCTCCACGTCCCCAGTCACGCTACGGGAAGAGCATATTAAGCATCTTGCTGCTCTGAAGTCACCAATGACGGCAACCATGATCTCCACTGTTGTTGTGTCTATACGGCTTTCTTTGTCTCAAAGCACGCTCTCAGCCCTCCTGCCGACAGCTAAGATCCTTGAAACGTTGTCTGTCTTACATGATTTCTTGCTACTCGGACGTGGAGAATTCGCAACGGCGCTTGTTTCGCATGCAGACTCTCGTCTACATGAGAAGCGACAGAGAAATGCGAACTCAAGATCCAAGAGTGAACCGATGGCTGGACTTAAAAACACATCTATCAAAGAGGTCGACGTGATGGCAACCTTGGCCCAGACTTTGACGGAGCTCTACTCTCTACAAAATGAAGAAGATCCTGCAGATGATGAACTTGATCACGCAAAGTCCTTGCTACGTTTGACGATCGATGAGCACAGAGATGATGGAGAAGAGGCGCTGTCTCAAGTTGCGAACGAAGTGCACTCAGGAATCAAGTTGTCGAAAATAACCTTCGACGACCTCTTGTTTCCCATCGCAACGAAGCTTTCGGTGCAAGTCAATCCTCCTCTCGATTTGTTCCTTTCCGCCTCTGATACGTCCGTGTACTCGAAGATCCACTCCTTCCTCTTAGGTATCCGTCGCGCTCATATCCACCTTGGTGACCTTTGGAAACGCACCTCTCTCCGGAGATGCTATCCTTCGCCCTGGGGGCCTCCTCGAAGCAACACTCCTTATGGCCAGAATAGGCTAAGTGAAGGGAGACAGAGGGACAACGTCAGACTCAGGCAGATGAGGGCAGTTTGGGCAACGTGTAGCGGCTCGCTCTTTGTGCTGTCCGAGATCGGAAGTTATTTTCAGGGAGAGGTCATCAACGAATCATGGCAACACTTCCAACAATGGATTGAAGGCGGCACATCACAATCGACATACGCTACAAGCTCCCGACCTGGAACAGCATCATCGTCGAGAAGCAAACAGACTAGTGCACCCCTGACAACTTCCCGAGCGTCGGATTCGAGCTTAAAATGCGATAGCCAGGGCCTCAGACGGCATGATCCGGAAACTATAACTGCTGCTCATCGTCGGTACCTTTTCACTTTAGCTGAAGCTCTTTTCCTGACAGACGTGCCATTTACGAAGGTGCTGAGGTTCCTGCTCGCAGGCATCGAGCATTTTATTGCGCTTGTGGTGCGCCTAGAAGGCATACAACGCCATATGGACCTAGAAACAGACGAAGGGGTGATCGACTCTTTGGTAGACTACGCAGGAGAGGAACGGGAAGTGTGGCAGGCTCTAGAAGCTGCACGGCTTGGTGTCGAAGGTGGGATCAGAGATGTTATCTTTCGCCTTCGAGACATAGATGATAACCGATCTGGCGAAGGGCGGCAATTGTTTGACACGGTCAAGGACAAAGGTGATGACTGGTCGTATCAGTCTCTTGATGCCGAGCCCGGTTTTCAACACTACGTTCCCCGGAAGGCAGCCGGCGTTGATCGGCTTCTCATGAAACTAGACTTCGGGAATGCCAATGGAAGCATTGGACCTGGTGCTGCTACAGGCGGGATTGCCGGCATTGCTTAATGCACAAGGTATGGCATACCTTGGCACACAAATCTCGCGATTGCATGGAAAGAAGCCGTCAGCTTCAATAAGCTCGGGGCATAGCAGAGTCATCAAGCCCGACTGCAGCCATTGATAATGGCCCAACTCACCCTCTGCGTTTTTACGCATAGAACGTGGCGGCATCGATCGCCCTTGATTTCTACTTCAGCGCAACAACTCTAAGCCGACTAGGCCATGACTCGCAGGTTTGGAGCTCCACCTCGGATTCTCCAAACCATTTTCCCTCTGCATTATGCTGTACATGCCCCAGAATGCTGATTATGAAAGGATGTGTCTCTTTATTCCAGGTTCAGATGCCCGGGCTATGCATGACACACTAATTTACCCGGAAAATCCCGGGGGGAAATCTCTGTTACCAGTCTTAAGTACAATCATGATGGGAGAAGGGAGTTGGTTGGCTACCGACGAACACTCTCCAAGGTGACATGTATGTCTCCTTACTGGCAAAGCCATTTCAGTCATAATGAGAGTCTGTGCCATTCCTTAAAAGTATTCATCTTTATCATGAACTCAAGATGCGGACGCCTTGAGAGATACGAGCTCAGGGGTCCAGTCGCATATCGAAAAGGCTTACATCGAATCCAATATACGATTACCAAATCCCAAACACCTGTTGGACGGACTATAAATAAAGCACGAAACTCAGATCACACACATGATCCATGGTCGGGCTTTTCACGGGTTACTCAAACAGGCAATTCCTTCTTGAGCACGGATTTGAATCTAGTCCGAAAACTTCTTCTATCCTTTGACGGTGATCGACAAGCCCTCTCCCTTTTGTGTTGACCAGCCATCCCTTGACTCGAGCCGACTTGTTCCTGAGTCAGTATCTCGCCCAAGGCTGGTGTCATTGCAAGGGGTTGTTCGAAATAGCATAGATCGCCAACCATCGAAAGGCTTGGCAGATCACAGGAATCTACAGGATATTCTGGAATGCATTGATCATGAGCGGATATGCAGCCCGCTCGCCGGACTGTACCCCAGCCTTCGGAATGTCATTATTCGGAAGCTCCACAGAATTGTGCAAAAGTACTACCAATCTCGCCCAGAGAAAGTCCAGTGAGATACGAGTGACACACTGGAGTAAACTGGAGAACAGCCTCCTGGAAGAAGACGTTGCCACACGATAATACGAGGACTCATAAGTGGATGGCTCGTGTGCTGTCAAGAATCTGTACAAAATTCATGATCCGGCTTGGAGAATCAGCAACGCAGCCAAGAGGAAAACCCTGCCAATATCATCAACGCTGGACTTCGATCGACATATTTGGCAAGGATCATGGCTGGAGATAAGTGTCAATGATCAAGACAGATAAGAAAAGATCCTTGGAAGTTTGATGCTGTAAGGGTGTGTTAAAACATTACACCATCACTGGTCACTGGGGATGCCGAGACCGTCATTGGAGGGATCCCGTTCCATGGATCGAGCCTCGGCCAAAGAAGCCGGGGTAAGCTCATCTTTACTCCTCTTCCTTGGCAACTCCCCAGCACCGCTACACTGACCGAGGGCAGGGCAGGCAAAAAAAATTGAAGAGACCCCCTTGGACTGGTCGCCATAGGGTTGAGATCAGAGATATCCGGGAACCATAGCCGACAATCCTACTCCGAGTAGCATTGACCGTCCTTGCTGTGCTGGTTGTTGGTCTGAATTTGAATCGGATCCAGCTGTTCGGCCTCCCCATACTCGGGAATCCCCTCCTTGTGGGCCTTTCCTAGAGGATGATCGTCATCCCTCGATCAACTGATCAAGGCCGGCAGCCGGACTCTGCATCCAAGCAATGGGCAGTTGGTTGTTGCTCCACGATAGCTCCTCAAACACGACCTTTGCCCCAATCATTTCTCTATGCCACTGCCTCGAGACGCGTCCGCTCCCTGTGGCAAGCTTAAATCGCGGGGAACTATCGATGCACGGACTAGTCCCCGTACCATGGAATTTAGTTAGCAATGAATTGGCATGGGCCCTGAAGTCATCGTGAAAGCAGCTCTAGATTCTGACAGCCTGCCCATGGATGGTATCACGCGGCCAGCTTGATTTTTGCTTGGCCCTTTTCTTTCCTTTGTACAACGTGTATGCCTAGCTTTTCTCAGATAATTGACCTTGGCGTGGGTTCATAAGAGTATAAACTCCAAGTCCGCTCAGTCAAGGAAACGACACAAGGTGACGATGAATCGCGGCCATTCGACCGTGAGGTGGTAGTTTTCTTTACTCATTTTCTTTTCACTCTTCACCTTCGTCCTCGCATACACTGCATCTTCCGCAATGCGCTTCACATTGTGTCGGTCGCTTCCGACATTGCCTCGACGAGCAGGCTTCTGTATCCCGTCTTCAATCCTCCGAGCCTCGTATTCCACGACTTCGACTCCCCATGGCGCGCATCACATCCAGACACGTGAGTCGAAATTGAATCCCGAGCACAAGGACGGGCGTCGATTCCGCGAGTTCGATCTCGAAGACCGGGTGTTCGCCGTCACCGGAGGCGGCCGCGGACTCGGACTGGCGATGGCCGAAGCTCTCATGGAAGCCGGCGCAAAGGGTAGGCAGGCCCATATCCGACCCCAGCCCACCCTCCTTGCCATCCCAACCATACTAACCCATCACCCCCCCCAAAAAAACAGTGCACTGCCTCGACCGCCTGGAGAACCCGCACCCGGACTTCCTGGCGGCGCAAGACCACGCGGCGAGCACCTACGGCGGCGCGCTGCACTACCACCGGGTGGACGTGCGGGACGCCGAGGAAGTGAACGCGCTCTTCGCGACGATCGCGGCGCAGGACCAGCGGCTGGACGGGCTGTTGGCCGCCGCGGGGATCAACCACCTGCAGGCGGCGCTGGAGCACTCCCCGGCGGCGCTGCAGGAGGTCATGTCCATCAACTACAACGGGGTGTTCCACGCGGCGACGGCGGCGGCGCGCCAGATGTTCGCCTACCAGCAGAAGGGCTCGATCCTGCTGGTGGCCAGCATGAGCGGCCTGATCGCCAACAAGGGCATGACCTCGCCCGTGTACAACTCCTCCAAGGCCGCCGTCATCCAGCTGGCCCGCTCCCTCGCCATGGAGTGGGGCCGCCACGGCGTCCGCGTCAACAGCCTCTGCCCCGGCCACATCCTCACCCCGATGGTCGAGCAGGTCTTCCACCAGAACCCCGCCGCCCGCGCCGTCTGGGAGGCCGAGAATATGCTCGGCCGCCTGGCCACCCCCGAGGAGTTCCGCGGCGCCGCGCTGTTCGCGTTGAGTGATGCTAGTAGCTTTATGACGGGGAGCACGTTGGTCATCGATGGGGGCCATACGGCTTGGTAGATTAGTCTTTCTTTTCGAAGCGCTGGGAAGATACATACGCGCGTGATACATACATCGATTAGGACGATGGAAGATGGAAGGGAGGAGTGGGGATACCCTCTATACTTAATGCTTGTTGATTATGGAAGTGCTCTTCAAGGAGGATGAGGTTCGCTCTGCGTAGGAGAAAAAAGGAGGGGAATGCGGGACATAATCATGTCGCTTCTTACGCTGTTCTGTCGGTCTCATACTGGACTTTGTCGTGCGGGCTTGTTTCTGGATGGCTGTATTTTTGCTTTCACTGGAGCGTTATTGCTTAATATAGCTGGGCCATTTGGCACCCGAGTTTTACTAGCAGATATCCTTTCTCGCTTACTTCAATTAAGTGACTTTGGGATGAGGGGTAGAATGTGCTGGACTTCGATACGTAAGCCTCCTAGAATGATGGATTAGGCTGGGGGGTCACCGTACCAGCGCATCAGTCGCTACGCCGATGAATTGACGACGAGATCAACATCTTCCCACTGTATCGAGACTTCAAACCTACAAGTTTGTGAATGCTAACCAAACTATAGACTCAACTCTATATTCCCTCACCAAGATGAACAGCAATCTATCTCCCCAAGCGAGTGAGTTATCGAACTCATATGTTTTCCCCACAGACGAATACGCCACAAACCGGTCCAGAGACCTACCATCACCAAGAACCCAAGAGGATCAAAGGATATAACCACCGCCATCGTCCCCAACAGCCAGCCCCTTCCTTCTGCTCCTCCTCCTCTCCCCAAAAATCAACACCTCACTCTCCTCCCCACCCTCCCTCCTCTCCATCTCAAACTCCTCATCCCCCGCACCTCCACCCTGTTTCCCCTGCAGCACCCTCCAATTCTCCCTCCCCAACATTCCCCTCAGCACCACCGCCAACACGGCCACGAGCACCATACACCCCGCACACATCCCCATGCCCCGCACATACCACGGCCCCTCGCTGGCAGGGTACAGCCTTGTCCCCAGCAGGGGCCCGCACTGGCCCACCAGGTTCAGCAGCGCGACGCTAGCACCCTTACCCTCCTGCGCGGGCCGGTTGTCCATGCTCCAGGTGATGATCAGCGTGATGGCGGAGAAGAAGCCCGCGATCGCCGGGTAGAGGCTGACGTAGCGGATGGTGGTTTGTAGCGTGGTTAGGTGGCGGTCGGCGAAGAAGGCGTGGTAGTGGCCCGTGAGCGCGAGGGTGAGGTAGGCGGTGGCCGAGACGAGGGCGTGGGCGATCAGGAAGGGGCTGCGGCGGCGGTGGCGGTCCGAGTAGTAGGCTGTGAGGAGGACGGTGAGGAAGGCGAGCACGTAGGGCGGTGCGCTGAGGGCTTGGGATTGGAGTGCGGTGTAGCCCATTCTGTGTTTGCGGGGGGTGAATGGTTAGTTTTGAGGGTTGCGGGGGATGGGGGTAGGTTTTGAGGGGGGAGCGTACTCTGCTATTATTGTGGGAAGGAAGACGGGCATCGAGCTGAAGGCAACGTTGCAGCTGAAGAACATGAACTGTAGGATCTCGTTAGTTGATTGTATAATGTGGAGGTTAGATGAGTGGGTACAGAGGGACTCACGGCGGTGATGTACGCTTTGGGATCGGCGAGGGTCTTTTTGACTTCCCCCCAATTAAAGGACCCTCCAAGTCGCCGTGATAAGATGCCACTGCCATTGCTACTACTGTCATCCATGCGGAGCTGAGCGATCATCCTTTGCCGCGAGTCCAGAAACCGCGCGGTCCCGGGCGAGTCGGGGATCCAGAGCCAGGCGAAGACAGCGACAATCACGCTGGGGAACCCTTCCACCAGGAATAAGGTGCGCCACGGGGCAATGGGGCCTCCGCTGCTGAATTTGACGATCACCCAGGCAAGGCTGCTGGCGAAGGAGGAGGCCAGCGGGGCGGCGGAGATGAAGAGCCCGTTGCGGAAGGCGAGTTCCTCCCGCTTGTAGAACTGGGAGAGATAGAAGGGCACGCCGGGCCCGAAGGCTGCCTCGGTGATCCCCAGCGTTGCGCGAAGGAAGATGAGCGCGCCGAAGGAGGTGGCGAGCGATTGGAAAGAGGCGACGAGGCCCCATCCAAAGACGCACAGGGCGATGTAGATGTGCGCGGGCACCAGTCGATACATTAGAGTCATCCATTCGAAGAGGATGTAGGTGATGTAGAAGGCTGTGAGCAGCCACTCATACTGCGAGGAGGAAAGCTGCAGGTCCTCCTCCAGACCGGCAATCTTCGCATTGCCGATATCTGCATGCGTGGGTTAGCTAAGTAGTTTGCCAGGTTGGTATTTTAGGGGGCGCATGGTCCAGGCAACTTGGAACGTACTTGACCGGTCGAGAAAGGAAAGTAAGTATAATAATGCCAGAAATGGAACGAGTTTGCGATCGAAGCGTTTGACCACCTGTTGCTCCTCCTCAATTGTATACTTGAGAAGATCGTGGGAAGAATCTCTGCTGGAATTGGGCCGGATATCATCATAGGAATCATATCCATCGTCCAGCCCATCGTCGGAAGAAACCGAAAGGTCAGCCTCGTCGTTAAAGTCCGTCTGCACTCTCAGAGATCCTACGGTAGGACGAGAGAGCCGGGATGCGGAGGGGCCATTATTATCCTCCTCTGATCTGTCGGAGGCCGGAGTGTACAGAAGCCCATCAGACGACGAAGACCCACTGCCGAAAGGGGAAGATGTGGTTCCGGTCGGGCCAGCGCGCAAGGAGGTCATTTGGCTTGATGCGCGTTGTCTAAATAAATCATAACTAGAACAGATCAAAGCCAAACTAAGTTGATCGCATTGAACCCATGTATTGTATCAACGACGGTAGAAAGGACAAGGTACAGTACAGCGAAGGTGAAAAGATCAGGTTCAGGATCGATAAGAGCAGAACAAGCCAACTCCTCCTCCCGAGCACGTGGCAGCAGCCCCAAAGCTAAAAGAGCCGAAAGATCGACAGCCAAGAACTTCAGTCCCATCCATCGTCATTAAACAATAAACAATGAATCAGTTAGTTGAGTTAGTTACTGCTTGATTAGATACATCAATGTTCCATCCCCGCATCCCTGTATCCAATACCATGAGCATAAGCACCTTATCGGTCACTAAATAGCAGAAATGAGCAGATACCCCAAGCATCTCCTCTCGAGCGCTTGGTATCTGGATTAGCTGTCACGAGAAGGACGGTAGCTATCGACAGGGCGCTTGCGTTTGTTCGAAGGACAAGGACTAGCCCCGTTCTTCCTGCCATTACTGGTGCTGTCATTCCTGTCATTGGGGGCTGCCTCGACGGGACGTCCATTGTTGCCACGAGGTGTATCATGGGCTCTAGCTCGCGGAGTAGGATTGCCCACATAACGCCTGGGATCCTCACGACGCGATCCCCGGAAGTGGATTCCGCCTCCGTCATGACGACCAGGATCTTCGAAGCGGCGCTGACGCCCCCCGCTGAGTTGCGCGGCGCGGTCGCGTGCCAGCCGGAAATGATATTCAATGTCTGGGATGAGGGGATGGTTGGGACGCCCGTTGGCCCGAAGGTACTGCAACGCATTCTCTGCCGTGTCACGCAGGAACCGGACCGAAGACTCGGTATCCGTGTTAGTCTCACTGTGACGGTAGAACTCGTTCTTGGCCTGGCGGAACCGGATGACCAGGCGGTTGATGTTCGGCTGGATGCTAATCCCATGGCAGGGCGAGCTGGGTCGTCCAGACGCGTCTCGAGTGCCCGTTGTACCTGGGCCTCCATGACCGGTGCTAGGGTTGACGGTGGCGCTGACAGCTCCGCTTACGCTTTCAGTGTCACCAAGTCCGAGAACTAAGCGACGGGAAATGTATTAGCATGTAGTCTCCCCTTTTGACCGGTAAACTTGGGGACACGAGAGCGGTTTCATACCTCTTTCCAACTCAAGGTTGAACTCTATGTAGTCGGAGGCGACCTGCTGATTGACAGAGCAGGAGATATCAGCTCCAAGGAACTCGGTGAGGTAGAAGTCTTGCACTTCGGAGCCAATCTCAAACCCATTATGACCTATTGCCACCAATGCCCGGTCATAGAGACTGATCTCGCCGTCCGCGGCATCCTGGGACCGCCGGTTGATGAGAGAAATATGGTTGCGAATGATTCGGTCGAGGGCGTCTATGTTCTCTGGGTTCCGCCAAAGATGCAGCAGAAGAGGAGAGGGCTCGTGGTTAGAAGCAGTCCACTTGGCCACCATCTGATTCAACTTTTGGATCAGATGTGGCTCAAGAGTTGCCGTGGAGAAGAGAGCGGACATCGTCCCAGCTGCGGGAATTTTGTGTCTTCGCCTATGTGATAACGTAAGGAGTTTTTTTGACAAACGAATTTGAATTGTTGACAATGCACGTTCAAAAGATAAAGAGACAGCAGGCGACTTGAAAGGCAGATCAGAGGAACGAAGATGGAGCTGGTAGTGCTTGGAGTGAAGGCATGGGTCGCTTAGTCGGCGAGGGGTCCACTCCTAGTGCAGCTCAGTGGTGTTGTGGTGGTAGAACAAGCAGACCTCGATTTACTGTCTACTTCTGGACACTAGAGAGTTTCATGGTCTTCAAAACTGAACTGCGTTGAAACAGCTGGTGGCACTTTCTGCACAAACACAGGGCAAATGATGATGATGGAGAGTGGCAGGAAGAGCATAGATAGCGCGCGGCCACTGGGAAGTAAAAGGGTTCGCTTACGAGTATGTGCTTGACAACAACAGACTCAATACGGATGTTCACACACCAGAGGTGGCCGCGGATGTTGAAACCATGCGTATGAAAGGCTGATGTGGGGTTAAAGAGTCCATTGGGTTATAAACAGATTTGAGGCCACTATTCAAACGTACAAACAAAAAAACACAGTTGAGGCAATTATGTTCACATGTTGTTGAGATGACAAGAACAGGGCACAGGTTGTCATCGATCATCACTTGGCATCGGCATCATATCATACAATCGATAATATCAATTGATACGGTTCCATAGTCGCTTGACTTCATCCACCAGCACCGATACTTGGCTGCCCTGTCCATTCTTTGCGCAATCTTTCCAAACGCCGCCATCGCGGACACACCAGACAGACTCATCGAGTCGGAGCGTGCAGCTTGTCTTGACGCCAAGCTTCGCACTATGGATGGCGCTCTCGCGTAGCAGAGCCATGCCGCTGAGCGGCGCACTGTCGCCGCCGTAGTCGGGATCATCGATTTCCTGACTAGCACATGCGTTCAAGGCACTAAAGTCTATGCCATGCTCCAATGCGCACTGCTCGACGTGATGGCGTTCCGGGATTTGGGAGTACGACCCAACAAGACAGTTTGCAAAGCCAAGGGACCGAATTGTCGGGGTACGCGCAGTCATTGGACCAACAGCGCTTTCGACTCCCTGAGGAGGGAAAGGAAGATTTGCAGCACAGAGAAGAAGCATATCTCCTATACATTCGGTGGGGCCGTGCTTGCATTGAATTTCCGAGGATTTGTTTGACACACTAGAGTGTAATGTTAGCTCATATGGTATTTGTGAATCTATGGACATGAGACCAGACAGGAGACAGGCACAACTCACTCAGCAATAAATGACAATTTGAAATCGACCTTGTCGCTGATTTGCTCCATCGCAGGCACGACAAGCTGCTGCAGACAGTCACGTGCGTCTGGACATTTGCTCATAATGTGAGCTTCTAGGGGCACTTTCTTGGTGGTTTGCGCTGAGAGCGAGGTCCCGGGCAACGCGGGCATGAAGAGCGCCTCATCACTTGTCAGCGTAGAGCCATTCTGATTTCTCTTGCCTTGGTGACAAGAGAAGAAGTTGATGCCGGAAATGGAGTTTGTCGTTGACAACACGAGCAAGCCGATAAGAGCAACAACCCCCAGATAAGTGGCGAGCCGGGTAATGAACCGGTCGCGTCGGCGGCTGAAGGAATGGGGAAGAGTGGAGTCGGAGATGTCAACGTAGCCGGTGTCGTGGGCTCTCTTTTCCATCTTGGCAGAGCTCGTAGTACTCCGATGAGTACTAGGTTGTGGGCAATGTAGTGCAAGTTGAGGATGGAATGGGCTGGGCTGGATTCGGGAGGGTGAGATCAAGGAAAGGTGGTGGGGGAAGATCGTGATCCGTGATTAATGGATGTCAACGAGTCAGCGGCCCGGCCATTTGCCCTCGCGTTACACTTGCAAAAAAACAGCCCAAAAACGTTCATAAAGGTTCCCATTAATGCAGTTGTCGGATCGTTAGGGGAATCTCAGATCGTCAATTGCGTAATGCTTCAGCAGTTGGGTTTCAGATTGAGGGATTCAGTTCTACTTCCTCGCTGTGCTGTCTATGTGAACCTCAATTGCCATGCTTCTTGCATGAATCATACATTGAAGTTGCATTGTTGCAGCAATGCCGCCGGGGTTGGGACTCAACCAACGCCTTATGCACTCCAAACGCACTACGACTCTCGATGGGCTTCGGAGCAGCCCTAGCTGGATGGACGGCTACGATCCACGCAGCAGCTTATCCGTACTGATCCGTGCGAGTCAGAACACGGCATAGATCAGTTGTTGACAGTCCACCCAGTGCGAACACCTCATCCACTTAAGGCATTCAGGCTCCAACTTTTGGACGGTGAGCATATTATCCAATGTCTGCTGTCGCAAGTTACGAATGCCGAATAACAACTGAGACATGCTACTGCCATGCTGAGCTACTAGATCTAAGTTAACCCGCAGGACTATAACTTACTATCGGGAACCTCAAACATAAGCTTCTAGCCTACAATCTAGCCATGAGGGGAGCAATCTAATATCCACGCCGATTACAAGAGAAAGCAATTTACATGGCACTTAAGGCACCAGACCTTTGATTTCCATTGGTATTCATTTTCGGATAAGATACTCTGTCGCATAATCTTAGATCAAACGCCTTTCAGTGAGCACGGTCATCGCCGTGAAGGAGTGATGGCAGATGGAACTAAAGCGCCTCAAATTAGCTGTCTGCAGGCAGGCACTCCATCCAGAGCTCGGTGACGAGGCCTATCACGTTAATTGACATAAGAGGGAAGCCCTCCGAGCATCAGCAGTATTCTTAGTGGAGGCCCTTGATCTCAAGTAGCACACTAAGGGTCAACAAGGGAGAGGACTAGACTACTCCGTAGTGCATAGCATACAAAGATATGCGACTACTATGACGGGACCCGTTAGCCTATCGCGCAGATCACAGGGCAAGTTGCTTGGCTGGCCCGGAACCTCCGCAAGTGTACCGGTCATCAGTCCTGCCCTGGAGCTCTTCTTGCCCCCCCAGTGAATCTCCGACTTCGGAGCTCTGACCGTATTGCCCAGAGCAGCCTGCATCTGACGCAATTCACACCTCCCAAACAAAACCTGCGGTGGTGATGACTCCCTTCTCTATCCGAGGACTCGTATGGACATCTTTTTGTATCCTGTGGCTTGTCTGAATGGGGCCCACCGCGCCGTGGTCACAACATCGCAAGTATAAGCGAGGAGTCATCACTGACCCAGACTTCTCGGCTGGCCAATCGGGGCGAACGAACTTTCTCCGGCGAGGGCAGCAGTGGTCTGAGAGTAGTGCCGTCAGTACATCGCAGGTTCACAACTGAGCATTGGCATCGAGGCGTGGTGTCATGGCAAGTCGTTTGGTCGGCTATGCTGGAGACTATACGAAGGGCCGACAGATAGAGGTCGAAGCGTAAATCCCATCTGACTCGACTTCACCTATTCCTCCACTCGGCTGCCTTCTCGGATTAGGAGAGTTTGATCTAACGCCTAGTACGTATCCCCAAAGCAAGGCTTGGAAGGCATCATGTCGTGACTCAACGGACATAATACGCATAAGGGACAAATGGCCCCACCATATACCACATGGCTAGATAGACGCTCGAACCAGGATGACGAGCTAACAATTTTCTCAACGATTCTGTTTCAAAGTTGCGATAATCTGGTTCGTAGTCTGGTTATTCAAGGCAGCGGTGTTGGGGAAAAAGAGCATCTATTGCATACTGGCCTCCTCTGTGCAAGGCGAGAGCGGAACGAGGCAGTCGGTAGTTTAAATGACAGCTGGTGCAGCTAGGCTTGGCCGAAAAAATGATTCCATGGCAAATCAGACCTGACACCAAGGAGGAAATGCGGTCACCAATTGAAAACGAAGGGGGATTTCTTGTATATTGGCGTGGTATTTGAGATAAGAGAGGAAGAGGAGAAGGTGACGTTGACTACTTAGCGGGAAGGGGACGGTTTCCCGGAGGGGAAAAGACCACGAAGGGGGTGTGGGTGGTGGAAAAATCAAAGGGAAAACAACAACAACAACAACAACAACAACAACAATAACAACAGAGACAACAAATAATTGTTGTTGTCTATCACCTCACATCCCACAGGTTCCAATCACAATTAATCGTTGATTATGGTGAGAGCCTTGGTCAGCGGAACCTCACCACCAGGTAGGCTACAGTACAACTCGACTACAACTGAATGGCATTCCATATAGGTGGAAGGGGGGGAAGATGAGGGTCCAGAATCAGATCGAGCCAGTATCATCCTGGGTCATCGACCGAGTAACTACTTACTAGTTACTACTACAACTACCTAGTAGTAACTTAGTAGTACATCCTCCACTCCTTCCATGGTAGCGTCACATCGTCTGTCCGCCGATGGTCGCATCTGCATTTTCCCCATCATCCACAACGGCCGGCGGCTCTGAAGGCTAATACGTACTCGTCACTCTTTTTTCCCTTTTTTCCTTCTTCTCTTTTACCACTTCAACCCGTTTCCTTTTCTTTCCTTTCTCCTCCGTTTCTCCGTCGTGCCCCTTCTTGCCCACCGTCTGGCTACTGAAACTACTTTAGTCTTCTTGGGGTGGGGAATGGCAATGAACTCTTACTCACTGGCTGGTCCTGTTTTCTTTCTACTGTACGGAAAATGATTATAATATTTAATTGAAAGTATTTCCACCTGTGCTCTTCCAGCATCATTCACTATCACGCCTCAGGTACGTACTCCCCACAGTCAACTGTGTTCTACCGTCCTGGTGGGGTTCTTTGACTTACAAGAGTATGCCTCTGTCCCTTCACTCCCCCCTCCTCCCTTCCCCTTCTTGCAGTCCACTTTTTTTTGCCAGGCTCCCTGCATCATGATCGTCACTGTCGCACCCTTCTCGTCCGGCAAGATATCTCAGCCTTTCCTCTTTTCATCATACAGACAGGCCACTGCAGTTGACAACGTCCGCGCTCGAACCCGTGCATTGACTGTAACCTTGGGAGCTGACCGTCACACTCATCATAGTCTAGAGCAAGCTGCAAGATAACGTCCCCCCTTGGAGAACCTATCGTCCCCGGACCTACGACCCCCACGGAAAGACCCCCAGCTAGGGTTTGCATCTTGAATTCCTTCAGCAATCAACAGGATCGCGTACGACAGGGCTCACCGTTGTATGCGTCCTATCACCGGGACTGAAATCCCCATTCCTGCTCCCCCACATCCCGTCCTACCTGGAAAACATTCCGCGAGGACAAGCAGATAAACACCATACCTGAACCCTTTCCTTCCGCCAACTTACCGCTCTGTCGCACAAGTTACTCTTCACCGAAACGTTTGCTACCCGCAAGTCACACGCGTCGGTAACTTGCCTGTTCGACCGCCCTCCTCGGCGCGGAACCCCTTCACAACATGACTTCCACGAGTCCTATAGAGGTGGACAAAAGCAGGGATGAAGACCATGAAAACATACACGATGATCCACTCGAAGAAGAGGACGAGGAGGAGAACGCTGAAATGGACCCCTCACACCAGGAATACCTAGATCTTCAGCGTAAATTGGATGAATTTCTGTCGCCGTTGGTTCTGGATGAAGCGGTCCTGTATCAGCTCGCGCGCCGCTTCTCCACAATCTATAAAGACCTAGCCCTGCATTCCAAGGAGCAATTCCTACCGACACCGGTTACCCGTCTACCCACCGGTCTGGAGACGGGTCGATACCTAGCCATTGATGTCGGCGGAACCAACCTTCGGGTTGCCTTCATCGAGTTGCTTGGAGAGGCGGCCGAGTCTGATACACCGCCAGGCGATGCTTCAGCGCGGTCGAGAGATACCCTACGCAAGGCACAGAGACAGCGTGTGAAGCGGACATTAGAAAGAGCATGGCCCATTCAAGAGCATCTGAAGATGGATAAGGCGGAGGACCTGTTCTCCTGGATTGGCGACTGCATCGCGGAGGTCGTGGCGGAGAGCCTGACATCGGAGAGCACTCGCGGCGAGATTCCGGAGGAATTAGAGATGGGCATTACATTTAGTTTTCCCATCATGTAAGTGTTACCCAGCGAGTTGGCAGGGTAAATCCTGTCTTACTAACGCAGCCTAGGCAAGAATCGCTCACTGAGGCGACGTTGATGCCGATGGGCAAAGGATTTGCGATTTCATCCGACCTCGATCTCCGCAAAATCCTTCTAAGTGGCTACGAAAAGCACACCAGACGACCGGACGACGAATGTGAACCATCCAGCAAACGGCGGAAGCTCTTTAACCTCCCTAAATTAAAGATCGCGGCGATCACCAATGACACCGTGGCCACTATCGCTTCTCTTGCCTACTCTGTGAAGTCATTGCCCAACAGCAGAGTTGCGATGGGAATTATTGTGGGGACGGGTTGCAATGCAACCATTCCCATGAAGCTCAGCTCGCTCCACAGCTCCAAAGCAAAACAGGTACAACAGAGAACTCCCGAGGCTGACGAAACTGTGGTCAACACCGAATGGACGATTTCTGGTGCCGCTCCGCCGTTGAAAGAGCTCAACATAATCACCCATTGGGACATCGAGCTTGATCAGGCATGTGCACGACCGGGGTTTCAACCGTTCGAGTATATGACTGGCGGCCGTTACATTGGCGAACTCATTCGGCTCATTCTCTGTGATTATCTCACAACCCAAGGTGGTTTATCCAAGAAGGATCTACCCGCATCTCTGGTAAAAGAATATGCCTTGACGACCTCCTTCATATCTGACAAGGTTGCTCGCTCCCGGTCCGACCATGAACTCGCAAGTGAGCTGGCTCAGGCCCTGCCGCCTCCTGAATCTAGAGAGTGGAATTGGGATGCACCGTCGGCCAACGCTTTCCGCAAGATTGCTAGGACTGTGCAACGGCGATCTGCAGGTTTGATCGCGGCAGCCGTTGTAGGACTCCTTGCATGTGCACAGGAGATCGAACTGAAAGTCGACAGTCCCGGGGGTTCCCCCACAACTGAGATCAGTGCCAACCTGGATCTATCCGCGGTCTCGAAGCATTTAGAACCGGAAGCATCTGGAACGAGTGGATCAAGTAGCATTAATGGACCCATTGTTCCGGTCTTGTCCCCCACGCCTGTCCCTGCAGACTGGCAGTCAGGGCCCGAGGAACTCGTGGTCGCATACACAGGTGGGATCATTCAGCATTACCCTAGCTTCAAGGAGATGTGTCAACAGTACATCGATCGACTCATCATGAGAACGGGTCCGCAGAAGAGCGGCAAGTCGGTGTTCTTGCGCGAGGCGTCTGATGGGGGTGTCATTGGCGCGGGTGTTCTGGCAGGCATGGTTGGAAACATGTAAGATGCTGGAAAGCAGATTCGGTAATGTGTAGACAGTTGGCTTGGCTTTGGCTTGGATTTGGACCTGCACTTCGAGGCGTCAAGTACCAGCATTTCGGAGGGCATACTTGCAGTATATGCGTAAGGCGTTTCTACGGCGGCCATTGTATTCCTCTTCGATGATATTATAGCTACAATTAGGATCTTTGATACATATGCTTGGCAGAATGTGATCGCGATTGACAGGTAGAGTGTCATTTCTCGTTATCAGGTTGTATCTGGGGTCAATTGAATCATCAGGAGTGCAGGCTCAGGGCTGTATTCTCAAGTTACCACACGGGGAAAGGTAAATTAGTCCAGCGACTCGCTTCAGACTCGCTCATCGCTTGAGTCACGATAGCAACCTAATGCGCCAAGCCGTCTCGCTCTCAGATATAGCGAAACATGTTATTGCGCACGCTGCGCTTCATAGCCGTGGGCTTGCCATCCTCGTACTCGATCCCGGAAGCACCACCGCCTCCAGACATCTGCTCGAGGCGCTCCCGAAGCTCTTGGTCTGCCTGCGAGACGCTCTTCAATTTGGGGTCGGTGGCAGGCTTTTTAGCTTTAGGTGTGTTTTCTTGGGGTGGTTGTGTGTTCGATGAGTTTTCGTCTAGATTATGTTAGTCAAAAGCTGAAATCAATCTACTAAAGTGAGTTTGGTGATGATGTGTCTTCCAACTGACCCTTGGTACTAGTATCTGCTAATCTACTCGCGGTGGAGGAGATATACTTTATTTCGGATGGAATGTGCGCAAAGAGCGTATGTGGAGAGATAGTCGATGAGCTCAGTCTCGTTAGACATGAGGACCTGCGGGTTAAGCATAGACTGAGCATCGTGAAGTGATCAAGTTTATTTTTTTTTTTTAATTTCTTTCGAGACCCTCGATTTCTTGGTCATCTCCTCCCAACACCCTTATCGTACTGATGTAATGGATGGCAAAGCGACACACTACATCACATGACTCGACCCCAACTCCCCAAGAGATCCACATCACGTGAAGATATCTCTCTGGCAGTCACAACTCCAACCTTCCAACTCCACCAGCTGACAAAACCAGCCGATTATAACCCCCTTCACGTTCCCCGATCTCAGCCCACACCACGAAAACCCCCGATAACTCTGTTTACAATCACCCCGACCTCTGCAGCCAGCCAAAGAAGCGAGAACGATGAGCGCACAGGCATACTACGAGCTCTACCGCGGGAGCAGGTACATCCATCCCCCCCCCTCAGTAACGCCCGGAGAAACCCACCCAGACACTAACACACAACCAAAAACAGCATCGGCCTCTCCCTCACGGACACCCTGGACGACCTGATCAACGAGGGCCGGATCGAGCCCCAACTCGCCATGAAGATCCTCTCCACCTTCGACCGCATCGTCACCGAGGTGTTGGCGGATAAGGTGCGCGCGAGGCTGACTTTCAAGGTACCATCTTGCCTCTTGCCTCTTGCCTCTTGCCCTGAAAAGCCAAAGATCCCACTCCCTGCGCAGCAGACTGGGGTCCATTTCTTCAAACAACGATAAAATTAACCATCCGTGCGTGAACGCTACAGGGCCACCTCGACACCTACCGATTCTGCGATGAAGTCTGGACCTTCCTGATCAAGGACGTGACGTTCAAGCTGGACAACCAGACCACCGTGTCGGCGGACAAGGTGAAGATTGTGAGCTGTAACAGCAAGCGGCCTGGGGAGGTTTAGGTGGTGCTGTGGCAGGGGTTTATTTGGTTTACGGTTTCTTTTATGCGCTCGGCTGGTTTGTCTCTTTTTTTTTTTTTCTTTTCTGAGAAATGGCGTTATATGCATTACAGCCCAGATTCTTTGTGTATATGGGTGCGGGGCAATGCGAATTGTGTGTCTTGCTGGGTTTGGGATTGGGCGTTTGATATGGGGTGTGTGTGGGCTTTTGTTTCTGATGTTGGGGATGAGATCTGGGGAAGAAAGTGATTTTCTTATGCTCTTGTTGCGAGAGAAAGAGTGGCTTTTAGAAGATTGACTTAAATTTGATACCCGAGGTTGAAATCATATCCTCACATCAACAATTCAATTCAACTGAAAAAGAAGTCAAGGTGAAAGTGAAAGTGAAAGCAGCCAGGGGATAAGTTACAATTGACCTCACCTCACGATAGTACTGCCGCCCGCCGGCCACTTCGGGTTGGAGACGAGGTGTGGAGCAACCAGCCCTCCCAACAGGGTTATATGGGCAGTACCTAAATCTAAAAGCAAAGAGGCGGGGTGGTTCCGGCCCGCGGGAGATTATCGAACGCGTTTCCCAACTTACCCGTCGCGATCCATATCGCAGCTCCAAGCCCAACGCAACCATCCTACCTTCAAAAAGATCAAAGGATGTCTATCCTCCATAACCTGCAGTTAACACCAACAACCGAAAATGCCCCGGAATCTCCCTTGGCTCCTCGACACCACCGCAAGCAGTAAACCCTCCTCCTCCTCCTCCTCAGCAACCCGACCCCGGGCCTCCACACCGCAACCCCGTCGCGCGGGCGCGACATCATCATCATCAGCAGCAGCAGCAGCAGCATCAACCACGCGAAACAATGCGCGCAAGCTGACCAGCAGCCCCCCGGGCTCCGGGGGATCTCGCACCCGTCGACGAGACTTTCTCCGATCCTGTATGTTTCACCACACCCACAAAACCTACCTCTCGATCATCGCGTTCGCAGCGGGAGTGAGCGAAGAGAACTACTAACCAAGTAACTAACGAATCTCAAAGCCCCGACACCCCCCTCATCCCCGATCCACCGCTGTCCATCGGAAGAGTTAGCCACCCTTTGCCCCTCTCCCCCCATTCCACCCCACTCTACATGTTGAATGCTTACCCCCCCCTCCAAAAAAAAGATATCTCATCCCCGGCCTCCAAAACGACGACATCTACATGATGGTCGAAGACGAATTCTACAGCGTCGCCCAGTCCTTCACCCAGCACTTGCATTACGCCGAGTACGTGCGCCGGAAGAAGGAGGTGAAGGCGCAGCAGCGAGAACTTCTGCAACAGCAGCAGCAGCAGCAACAAAGACCCACCGATGGGATCACCCCGCTCAGTGAGGAGAGTAGAAAGCGAAACGCCCAGGAGGAGTTGGCGGCGAGGCAGCGGGAGGGGTTGGAGACGATGACTGCTGGGGTAAGGCCGGTCGTGAGTGGGGATGAGGATGAGGGTGAAGCAGAAGATGATGAGGCCTGGGCGGGGACTTCGTTGCATGAGTTGATGGTTAGTCCGAGGAAGAATCTGTCGTTGGTCGGGGTGCAGGGGATACGGTCGGCGACGAGGGCGGCGGCGGGGTTTGCGCAGGCCGCGGGGGGTGTTGGGAGGAGGGTTGGGGCTGGGATTGGGGGTGCGGGTGGTGGTGGGGGTAGCAGACATGGGAGAGATGATGGGCACCAAGTTGACGACGATCAGGACGCAACGGCGTCCGATGATGAGGACGATGACCTCGATGCGCCTGCGCATGCGAAGACCACACCTCACCAAGTTTCGCGACGACGCCAATCGCGACGCTCTCCTCCGCTTCCAACAGAGGAATACAACTACGCGACGAGCTCGGATGCTTCACCCACGTCTTCATCCTACGAAACCCCTACGGTCGAGCCAAAATCCAAAAAAGCGCAGTCTATGAATGCCACTACTACTACATATCGTACACCAACTCCAATCGCTATTAAATCCAAGAGGAGATTAATCTTTGATGACTGGGACCAGCTTCCAGAGCCGCCGCCCAAGTCGAACATCCAGGTGCAATCCCGCATGTCGTCGTCGTCGTCCAGTGAAGCTCCTCCTCCCCCTCCACCGCAAAATCCACGAGGCATTGATCCAAAGGCGAAGAAGAAATCGCGTCTCAACGAAGTGCCAACCTTCCTTCTCTGAGGTGATGTGTAATTACGATTCCGGGCGCAAGCGCGCGCGCATTGCTCCGTTGCGTGTGTGTGCGTGTGTGCATGTATGGGCGTTGACAAAGTCAGGTTGGGCACCGAGTTTCTCCCATATTGATGGCGGGGTTGTTCGTCGTCGTCTTCGTCATCACTATCGTCGTTGATAATGTTTATCAGGAGGATGTCATGAACATTCACTCCTCCTGTTCAGCCAACGGCTTGGGAGCCGCCGCCGCCGCCGTCCGACTCAATCGCCGGACATGCGTCTTGATCTTATCCCGTGTCGACTGTTGCCGTTCGATGGCCGCGATGGCGATATCCTTTTCCTTTTCCAGGGTCGATCCACGACTGTGCAGAGTTGCGGCACTACAAACAAACCAGTTAGTCCCCACACCGTCCAGTGCAGTGCAAACAGAACCGGACTTACTCGTCGTCCGGGAAGAACGAAGGCATTTCCTCCTTCCGAAAATTTGTAGGGGGACCCTGCAGCGCCGTTATCAGTAACTTGAAATCTTGCATCCCGGGTATGCATGTTGCCAAACTCACAATCTCCAGCACCCGCGGCTGCGGCTTCTCGCGCTTGAACGGGGCCTTAATCAGTCGACCTAGCTGCCGAAAACACTCCATGGTTTCTTTTCTGTCTATTGCCTCTATTTCCTGCGAAGGTGTTCTTTGGTTTGGTTGGGAATCAAATGAGTGTGAGGTTGCTAGCAAGCAAGAAACAATTGCAAACGATGGTGTGGTTGGTGGTTCGGTTTTGAACGAATGGCGTGTGTCGCGGTCGGTATACAACAAGAAGGGAGCAAAGTCGATGAAGCAAGCTGATGAAGCCGATGACGACGATGATCAAAAGGCGATCAATCCAAATCCAGTAATCCTTCCGGACAATCGAGTAGCGAGCGAATAAGCAAATGTTTGTCTGCTTTTTGGTGGTTGTTCTAAAAACGGGGGATGGTCTCTAGTAGTATCCAAATGAGTGACCGTTGTGGTTGAGGTGGAGAGCAACTCCGTAGTAAGGCGGCGGAGAGAGACAGAGAGAGGCTATGCAAGCAAGCAAGCAAATATTCCCAACAACGAAAAAGAAAAAAGAACACCAGGAAACAAAGCAAGAGTCAAAGACAGACTAAAAAAACCCACACAGATAAGGAAATCTGGTTTCGAAACGAGGGACAGGCTGCCGGAAGCAGAACACAGAGGAAAAAAAAAGAAAACGAAAAAAAAAAAGCAAAGAGAAGTGCTTTCTCTATAACATTGGGCGGGGAACAGGGACGACGAGGTGGAGGGCGAGAGAAAGAGGAGGGAAAAGAAAGAGAGAGGAAGAGGGGGAGGAGGGAGAGAGATCTCTTTTTTTACGTGGATCGAGAATGAAGAAACGAAGCGGCCAGTGGGGGGTGGGTGTTGTGTCCCTTTGGGGGAAGTGTGGAGGAGATAATATATTCAAGAAATTGAACTCCAATTCGCCCTGTTTTTTGGCTCAAAAGGGGAGAAAAGAGAGAGACACGACAGGCTGCTGACAGAGTTGCAATTGGACGGTCTTTTTCGGGGGGATTGTTATTTTTGCTCGCCCGTGTCAAAATGCAAGAATTAATGCAGGCGTTCCTTTTGGTCTGGTAGTTAGTTAGTTAGGGAATGACAAAGGCAGGAAGGAACATTGGAAGAGTAAGACAAGATAATCTACCGTGACAGCTAAGTTATCCTATACGGAGTACACTCTCCCCTGTGCAGGCCAGAGAATCCCGTTGCTCTAGCTGCTCGGGACGCTAATGGGGGGGGATTTACGCGCTATGTGACACATTCCATTCTTTGCTCCTATGAGTAGGTTACTAGCTTGGTCGATTTCCCTGGGACAACAACAGTAGTCTAGGTACGTTACGGAGTACTGGGTAATTGACTCGACTCGCCAAATATGTTCGGGTCCGCCCTCATTCATACTTTATCCCTGCCCCCTTCCTTTTTCTTTTTTTTTTTTCCCTTTTTTCCTTCTTATGTTGTTCTAGACGGATGGATGCAGACAGGGTAGGGTATGTATGGCCCCAGGGGCAGAGGGGCCAGGCGGATGCAATGCGTTGGCGGGCTGGCTGCGATGCTTGCTTACTTGCTTGCTTGCTTGCTTAGCGTAGCGTGGCTTGTACTGTACTTCGGTGGTTGTTGATGTGGTGGCTATTGTCGGTTGCTATTGTTGTTGCTGTTAGTAAGTTAGTCTACGGTACGTAACTTAAGTTAGGTCATAGGCGTCATTTCCATGTTTAACCCCCTCCCCTGCTCCTCCCTGAAACCGTGGTTCGTTCAGGCACCAGGCACCAAGCTCTAAATAGAGGGTTGATCCCGAGAACTCGACATCATCGAGGTTGTTGGGGCTGTGTGTGCCTGTCGATCCTCACCTGGATCTGATAGATGAAATATGTGACCTGGTGTAGAAGACGCAGAGGTGTAAATGAAAGGACATTACCCAGGAAATGAAGACCCCTAACTAACCGGTGCCAGCACTCACTATCTCCCTCGACTCACCATGATTTGTGCTTTACAGTACTCCGTACTCCCTTCCTGTACTGTACATATAGAATAAGATATCTTCCTACATACGTACTACATGCCAGAATAGCCCTGCCCTGAGGATGTCCCCGTAGCAATGGCCAATGGCCCCCCTCCCCCCGGGGGGAGGTGGAGGGGCGAAGTGGAAGGATCACCAAATCAGGGCTCTCCATTCCCCAATCTGGGGGAGAAAGAAGGGAGATCGTCCACCATCTGAAGCAATAGTCGAACCCTTTCCTTGATACTCACCGACTGGAGGTAAGTTGAGTTGAGTGACTCAGTATCTATCTCTATGACGATGTCAGCAACAGGAATAGCATTATTTTGGGGATAAGTCGATCGGATCTGAACTTTGCTGCGACTGCATACACCGGGACAGTGACAGCTGCTACAGCTGCTACAGCTGCTACAGCGGCTACCTCCCGGCCCCTGAAACTAGCGTAATGTACTTCGTATGTACCGGTGGAATCTAGAGATAAAGCCCCAAC